ATATATATATATATATATATTATACATATTGTGGACACAATGTGGATGGATCAATTCTAGAAATCAAAATAAAAATTGATATATAAAAATATTAATTAAGACTTGTTTAGTAAATTATAAATAATAAAAATTTGCGAAACGAAACAATAAAATAATAAAGTAAACAATTTTATCTCCATCATCTATCTCTCTAACTTCGTCTTACCTCTAATACAAACTTAAATTGCTTATAATTATAATAAATGATTATTAATAAATAAATCTCAATTGACAATTTTGTGTATCAATTTTTATATTTATTTTTGACTGTAGAATCGATCTTTCAACTCCATCAATATATATTAATATTTTATATAATATACTATATATGTATAGAAAATAATTTTCATATAGCACATTTACAATAGTACAATAGTACATTTATAGACTAGTATTGTATATTATTGATTTTTGAAGACTATATTAACATCTTATAACGGAATATTGTGAATCACTTTGACTGACAATCAATCGCTCATGCGTTTATCTTAAAATAGTTTCTTTTTATCGGACACATATTAACATACAGAGTGTTTCAGTTAATTCGATCATTTCGAATAATTATTAAATGATTTTACGAAAATTGAAACATGGAATTTTTTTATAAAAAATTAAGACATAAAATTTAAATAAATGTATGAATTTTTTTTATGACTGAAAATTTTTAAAAATTTCAAAATTTCATCTTAATTTTTTTAAATGCAATAACCTATTTTTTATATCGTAAATCAGTAATATATCAAATTTTACATAAAAATATATTGACTTTTATATATTCTAAATAAACGATATATTTTATATTCTAAATATTCAATATTCTAAAATTAACAATATATTAATAAAATAATCATTAATATATATTTATTATCTGAAAATTAAAATAAAGTATTTAAACTTATATCTTTCAACTTTAATATAATCTATTTTAATAAAAAAATAGTATTTTTAATTATTTATGAAAATGTACTATATTTGCTTGATATTTTTTTGTGTCGATAATGAATTAAAATATATTTTATTTTTTAAATGTTTTCTAAAATGAAAATCTAATAAGATCTAATGGCTATAGAAATTTTCAATTCAATTTTCGCGACTGATCCATTCATTGGAAAATTATCTCTACAACATCTATCGTAATTCTTTTATATCTTTGATAAGGAAACTATTATACTAAAATCATCGATAATCGATATCCATAAATGAATATATATATTTTGTAACGAAATCTTATAGTAATATCTTTAAAAAATTTTTGTATTTCCATTTTATTAATTTTATTAAAAATGTTAATAATCAATTTGTCTAATGCAAACATTATTTTGTGATCAATAATATGTATTTTTTAAATTAATTCTTTATGATTATTAAAAATCGCCTTATTGGTATACTTATAGAAAAAAATTTATTAGTTATTGCAATATGTTTCATAATTATTCGAGATGATTAAATTAATTGAAATGCCCTATGTATATATATGTATATAAATTACATTTCTTATAATAAAAAAATGAAAAAAATGCAATTCATTTTTACTATGTATGCAAGATTTACTTAGGAAATAACATTTAAATTTTTTGCATTCAACATACAATAAAAAATTTTAATTTTTTGTTAATTTGTAAAATTCGTATTTCGTTCGATAAATATAAAAATCTAATCTATAATATATAAAAAAAAAATACAATAATGATTGAATTATAAAAATTTCATAATTGTTTAGTAAAAAAAATAAAACTGAGAAAAAATTATAGAAGATGAATAATTAAATAAATTTTGTTTTAAATTTATTAACGTTGATACGATTAAATGCAATAACATAATTTAATTTATATTTTAATAAATTAGAAAAAATTATATTAAAAATATTTAATATAATTTATGTTTAAAAAATTTTAATATTGATCAGATTTCAAATGATTCAATGCTATTATTTTTTTAATATGTTTATTATAATAAAATATGAGTAATAAAAGAATAAAATGTATATCTATAATTATAGAATAAAATAGAATGAAATATGAATAATTAATTAATATCAATATTTTATGTAAATAAAATAATTATTTACAATATTACATTGAATGTAATATATAATTATATTAAACGTAATAGTATTATAAAATTTTTATTAAAAATCAAAAATAATTATAATAATAATAATTTTATAAATAATTAAATTCAATAATTCTATATTTAAATATCATAATAATAAATAAATTGATATAAAAATTTTAATTCTAAAAAAATTAATTTTATAAATAATTTCATAAATAAAATAAAAAATATTAAAGAGAGATATATAAATAATTATTTATAGACATTAAATATAAATAATTAACAATTCTTTATAAATAAGTCTCGCTTGCATATTAATACATAAACAAAATATACATATAGACAAAATTCAATATATAGTATGATTTTTTACAAATAATTTGAAAACTAATTATAAAAAATTTTAATAACGATCACATTTCAAATTTAAAATGTTTAAAAAATGTGAGAACATTCATTAACTGAAGATTTCTGAAAATTGAGTTTTTTCTTTGCAAAAGTTTTCGTTATAGTTTTATTAACAAGTTATTAATAAAAAATGTTGATCAATTTCGAAGCATATAATTGAGCTACATTGGCTATGTGCTATCAATTGAGTACGAACAAATCCAAATAACATATATGGAAGAAAACATATTGAATATTATTGTTTATTAATTATTCGTGATATAATTTTTTTATATTGATAAAAAAATATTTGTTATGTTCAATATACTTTTTTCAACATATATTAATTGTTCGTGCTCGATCGCCTGCAAATAGTCAATGCTACTGTCACGGTTTGATTGGGTTATGCACTCTGTGATTAGCTAATGTTTTTTTATTAATAACTTATTAATAAAATTATAATGAAAGTTTTTACAAAAAAAAACAACAATGTTGTTACTTCAGTTAAAGGATATTTCCATATTTTTGGGAAACTCTGTATATAAAAGAAAAATGATATTCTACAACATACTTCAAACTCTTTAAAAATAAAAAGCTAATCAATAAATTCACTATATTATATTTTTATTTATATCTTTAATATCATATTCAATTTAATAAAAATTTGAAATCTTTTATAGTAAATAATAAATTTTTTAGTAAATATAGATATCTACATGTACATATAGATATCTACATATCAAAAAATACATATAATGCTGCCATCTTTTGATTTTTCTTATATATTAATCATATCGATTTCTTTAGATCGATAAAAACGAAAGAAATATTATCGATTATTTTTTTTTTGTGTAACATTTGTTTCTAAAAACAATTATAATTCGTCTGTGATATAAAGATATAATATACTATAAAATATTTATTATATATTTATAAATAATTGTCATGTATATTTTAATTATTATAAAGAATAATATTGCACAATATTTTACAAGAAAGTAAAAATGACGTACAAAGAGATCATATAGGGTTTTTTATTGCTTAAAAATTACGTACATATTCTATTGGTTATATCAGTCGATCGAAGTCTGTCCGTGAGTACAGTTCAATTGTAACGAAATGTTTGGTAAGTATCATGATTTATTTTAAAATATGTAATTTATTTGTGAAATTTATTCTGTTTTATTATATTTTATTGTTTTTATCGTTTATTTGATACACTTTACGGAAATATGTTTTTTAATATTTTTTTTTTATTTATATCAGGTTGTTGTTGGTGTTGTTCAGCTTTGCGTCCACGATATAAAAGACTTGTCGATAATATTTTTCCAGTAAATCCTCAAGTAAGTTTTTAATATCAATAAAAAATGCTTATAATTTTTGTATACTTTCTTTTCTAGTAATTTTTCATATATATTATATACAAAATATAGATAATTATTTAAATATAATTTATTTAAAAATATATAAATATAATTTTTTTCATTAAATAAAAATATTTATTAAAATTATAATTAATTTATATGATTATATTTTGTATATTTTATATATACAAAATTAAATATTATATACAAAATTTTATAATATTATTCTAAATTAATCGAATTTTTTATTTAATAATTCTAATTTACAAATGTCCCATTTAGATAAAAATATATCATTATAAAAAATTCATCTATATAAGTAAAAAAAAGTATTGAGCAAATTTAAATTTATTAATACACCATTAAAATCTAATTTTTAATTCAATAGTTTTAAATATTAATCTTACTATATAAATAAATAAATATTAATATTTTTGATAATATAAATTAATTTTTATAATTAGGATGGCTTAGTAAAAAATAACATGGAAAAACTGACCTTTTATTCATTAAGCAGTCCAGAAAAACTAGACAGAATTGGAGAATATTTATTTCAAAGAGCTTCCAGAGATATTTACAGGTATGATAAAAAGAATTTAAATAATAAAAAATTGCTTATAATTAATTTAATAACTATAAAAAGTATATATTCATGTGATTAATATAAATTCTTATTTATTTATATTATATATTATATATTCTTATATATTATATCATATAAATAATTATATGTTATATATGTTATAATTATAATTATTAATCAATTACTTTGAAAAATCTCATTTAAATATATTAAATATTTTCATATTTATCATTTGTATTAAATCATCTTCATATAAAAATTTTAAAATAAACACATTTATAATATAGGAGAAGAAATGGATTTGTGGTCATTGCAATGGAAGCAATGGATCAGCTTTTAGTAGCATGTCATGCTCAAACTTTAAATTTATTTGTTGAAAGTTTTTTAAAAATGATACAGAAATTATTGGAATCTACAGATCCACAATTACAAATATTAGCAACACAATCTGTAAGTTTCATTAAATAATTAAAATATTATATTATATTTATATGTGTGTGTATATATATATATATGAGAATTTTATTTAATTTATTAAAAATAATTTCATTTTTAACATCTTTTAATTCAGTTGAACAAAGTGCTGGCTTCTTCTAGTTTGTCCGGTTTGCCAACATCGAGCAAGATACGCCGTCTTATCACACACGTTACGATTTCTTTGTATCAAAATACTCTGCAATGTGCCACTCAAACCACAATGACCCTGCAATTCGCAAACAGATAAGACTTGCTGGAATTCAGGGATTACAAGTATGATTTTTATATATTCACATATCTATAACTAATAATTCAATAAATATATTTTATATTTTATGTATTAAAGTCGAAATTAGATATATATTTATTTTGAAGATATAATATATCATAATTAATATACAATTAAATATCAAAATATAATTAATTTATTATTATATGTTTTCATTAAAACTAATGAATTAAAACTAATGCAGGGTGTCGTAAGAAAAACACTTTCTGATGATCTGGTAGAAAATATTTGGGAACCTGTACATATGGATAAAATTGTTCCATCATTATTATATAATATGCAGAATTCAAGGTAATATAAAATGAATATTTATATTTATTTAGAATACTTATATTCATTACTGTAATATAACTGATTACTATTTATGTAATAATTTTATTTTATAGATATTCTAGTAAAGAAGATACAATGCAAAATAATCCCACAGAACAATCTGATCCACCACAATTTGCAGAAACTTGTATGCGAGAATTAGTTGGACGAGCATCATTTGGTCATATTAGATGTGTTATTAGACCTGTTCTAAGGTTTGTTTTTAATTAATAATAATTAATTGTTTAGAATTTAAGATTTGTCATTTAAAGTATAAAAGTATAGAGTATAAAGTATAAAGTATAAATTATTTCATGTATAAAATAGTCTAATCATTTTGTCCATTTTGAATATTTTCGTTATTTGTAATAATATAAAAAAATTTTATATATGATGTTTTTATTTGATATGAGGAAAAATATAATATAATGTATTTTTGTATGAATGAGCGCATTGAGACATTTTAAGGTTATTTGCATTTTTTTGTCCAAAATGCTGTAATTTTTTTTTATATCTACATGATAACTGCTTTAAGACCAATTCAAGAAACTATTAAAAAATTCAAAAAATCATTTAAAATCAAATCTGCTTATATAATATCATTTTTATTTTAGAGAAAATGTATGAAATGTTAATCATTTACAAAGTTACAAGCTTTGAATTATTGTTGAACATGTACATTTTATTTGTTTTTTTTATTTTTTAACATAATTTATTCTTGATAAACAATGTTTTTAAGACTTCTTCCCAAAAAAAGTCCAAGTTTAATTAGAAGTTTAATTAGAAGATCAGTTTTAAAACTGACTCTGTTCAATCTTCATCCATTTAGATAAAGTTTATTTAAAATATTTCTTATTTTTCAAATGTAATGCGCTGAGCATCCATTATGTTGCAGTCATATTATTTAATGATTATTTAATAAATTAAAAATGCAGCATGTGTTGAAATAAACTCAAAGAATAAAATATGTATATGATTCAATAATTCAAAGATTACAACTTTGCATTGTCACAAATAATCAACAATTTGAACATCTTTTCTAAAGTAAAGAAAACTATTTCATAAATAGATAACATTAAATAAATGACCTTGATAATAGCTCGTTAAATTGGTTAAAACGATTATCATGTATTAAAAAATTTATAAATTTATATTGATCATATCTTGATCAAAAAATACAGATGATTTTGAAATGTCTTCAACACATCTATTCATACAAAAATCAAATTATTTTTCTTTTTCATAAAACGAAATAAAATTTATTCATATTATTAAAAATAATGAAGATATTCAAAATGAACAAAAGACTATCTTGTATATTTTTTCTTAAAAACAAAAATAATTACAAGTAATATTTATTAAAAATAAAAATAATGATATAAAAATTATTTGCAGACACTTAGATAATCATCAATTATGGGTTCCTAATTATTTTGCAATTCATACTTTTAGAATTATTATGTTTTCAATTCAGGTTAGTAAACAATCAATAAATATTATTATTATAAATATTATTATTTATTAATAAGTATTTGAAAAAGAAAAGTATATAATTATATATATTTTTAGTCACAATATTCTTATACAGTTGTGGAAGCATTGATGACTCATCTTGATGATCATTCGAAATCGTCTCCCAAAATTCGAACAAGTATAGCTGATACTTTATCTAAAATTATTTCAATTGCAGCTGGTGAAAGTGTTGGTATGTTTTAATAAAAAATAATAAAATAAATTTGTATTATAAAATTAATAAACATAATATTTTTTAAAGGTCCTTCTGTTTTGGAAATAATAAATTCTCTACTATCTCATCTTAGAGTTAGTGTAACAAGAAATCAATCTTCAAGTAATGATGAACAATTATATCAAGAGGCACTTATTAATGCCCTTGGAGAATTTGCAAATCATCTTCCAGATTACCAAAAAATAGAAATTATGATGTTTATAATGAGTAAAGTTCCATATAGTCAACCAGATCGTATAGTTTCAGTTGGTAAAGGAGATGTATTACTTCAAAGTATTCTTCTAAAATCTCTTTTAAAAGTAATTATTTATTAACACAATAAAAACACAAGAAAATACATTAGGCGCCTGCGCGCACGTGTGTATGTGTATATATGTACATATATACATTACATTTTTATAAATATATTTTAGGTTGGCACAAAATATCAAACTATACATTTAAATACAACATTTCCACCAAGTTTTTTGGAGCCATTATTAAGAATGTCATTGGCAGCAGATGCTGAAATGCGACTTTTAGTACAAAAAATCTTTCATACTTTAATCGATAGGCATCAAAATATTACAAAACTCGCAAAACCTACGTAAGTTATAACGAATATTTTTAATTTAAATTATTGTAATTAAACAAATTGAATTATTTTAAACACAATTTTATATTTAATAGGGTAAATGTTGCACAACTTGATCTTACCATTGAAAAAGCATCCAGGCCAGACGTGATCTTTATTCGTAAACATGGCCCTGAAATCTATTTAGCATTATACGAATCATTAGAATTGGCAAGTAACAAAGTTGAAAACGTGGAATCTATATATACAACATTGGCATTACTTGCCGTAGAATTGGCTTCAGAAGAAACAGTATTAGAATTACTAAGATTAGTACTGAGTCTTCAGGATTTATCTTTAACAAGTGGCCAAATCAGTATTTCGTTGAAATTTAATTTGCACGCTATTGTCATAAGTTTGCTTGTATTAATATCTTATGTTTGTAATATTACTTCACTTATGGATTACGCAAATAAAGTAAGTTACAACTTATTTCATTCTACATGTGCAATAATTCTGGTTTTTTAAATTTTTATTTTTTTTATTTTTAAGATTATAGAAATGCGAAAGGAAGCATCTCATCTTTTACCTGATTTACAATCTCAGTATGATATTGGCTTATCTTCTAGATTATCACCCGTTCTATTAGTCGATCAAACCGTTTTAAGTGAATGTTTAAAAGGAGCTGGTCTTGACAGCGGAAAATTGCAACAAGGATCTGGTTATAATAGTATTTCATTACAACATCGGTAATTATTTCAATTTAAATTTTTATTTTCTTATTTTATTAGTTATAATATTAAAAATTATCAAAATTTTATTTTTCTCTCTTTAGGCATTCATGGGTCGATAGCGGAAGAAATTCATTAGGCGATATTAATTCTGGTGCCGCGGAATTAGATAGTGGTGGTTCATCTCCTGGTGTTCAAAAAGTACATCTTTGCATATATTTTTAATTTATTTGTATTTTTCTAATGATTTATTTTTTTATAAAATGTTTTTTTTTTTTTTTAGAAATTGCCAGGAGAAGAGTTAACTTTTGAAAGTATGAAACGAATTCTAACTGAAAATAACAATAATCATGTAATGGAAGAAGAAAAACGATTACAGTTATCGCATTTTTTTTAGAAACGCACCATTTCAAGATTTGGTATCAAAAACACAACCAAAGGTATAATAATAATAATAATAATAATAATAATAATAATCTTATTACTTTACTTTATTATAAAAATAAATAATTTTACAGCATGATGTTTTACAAAGTAAACTATCAGAAATATTTAACACATTATCTGTTGATCCACGAAATTCAAATCAACCAGGACCACCAACAGATACGAAACCAAATCAAGCTCCAGCTTATGAAATACATTTCCCAGAGTTGTTTGTTTATTAAAATAATTTTTCTTTATTATGATATTTTTATTAAGTTGGACTTTATACAATTGTTATGTCAATTATAATCGATTTAATTCATTTACATTAATATATTTTTATGTTAAAAAATAATATTTTTACATAATTTATTTGATAAGTGCAATGATACTTAAAATTAATTATTATTATATTATTAATATATGTATATATGTATTTTTTTAAATATTTATAAATTATAAATATTTATTATTAATATTTATTTCTAATTGAAATAATTATTTCAATTTTGATAAATTTATTATCAAAAATATTAAAAAAACAATTCAAAATTATTTTATTATTTATAATATGTAAACTAGTAATATGCAATTCACAAAATAATCTTTTTTAAAAATTCATTATATAATTTGATATGTTTGTATATCAGTATCATTGATATACATTAATATTATATTTATAAATTATATGATATATTTTCAATGTTATTTTTATTAATAAGATTTGTTTTAATAACTTGCCTATCACTAATATAATATAATATAATTAAAAAAACTTTAACAAAATTAATTATTTAAAACAAATCAAATTTATTCAAAATTGTATATATAAATATAAAAATTAAAAAATTTAATAATAGATAAATGTAACTATGGGCTAATAAATATATTCATATACTTGAAGACAAGATAGTTTTTTTTTTATTGAATATTTCTGTGTAAATGTTCATACTATTACATTACCATTATTACAGTATTTCTTTTTGCATCATTGAAAGATTTTGTACAAAATATCCAGGTGATTGTTTATCAAGTACTAAGTAATTGGAATGAACACAGATTATTCGAATTATAATTTGAATGCTTCAAAATTTATTTTAATTCAATTACTCATAATATAAAAATGCAAATAATTTCAAAATGAATATAAATTTTAATTTAATTACAACATAAGAGTGTGAAAAAAATATTTTAATATCTCACATCATATAATTGGTCATTGATGATTTCTGAGATTTTTTAATTTTAATTTATAATATATATATCTATGCAGAATAATTAATGAAATGCAGAATTAAAATTTTAATTTTTTTTTTTGCTTTTATTTTTATGAGCAATTAAATTAATACGCGAGACATGCATTCTCGTGCAATGATTGTTTAACATAATATAATTCGAAGCATTTAATTTAAAAATCTGTGATTCCGATGTATACGGCCAATTTGATATACTTGAAAAACACTTCAAGGCTCCACCTTTAATAATTCCACATCAAAGATGAGAACAGCATTTGGAGGAATAGTGTATCTATGTCAAGGATAATACTATAATAGCTAAATTTTTTTTTATATAATTAATAATATAATTAAATATTATATTATTAAAAAATTCATTTAAGAGTAATAATAGTAATAATAAAAAGCATTATTATAATAGTTAATTTAAGAAATTAATACATTTCACAAAGTATGAAATTTGTTTTATTATGATTTATCTATATTTAATTCTGAAATTATGAGTAGAATAATATTTAAAATGTTTATTGTATTAAAGGATATACTCCAGGATGTCCTCGGCTACCATAGGCAAAATCTGGCGAACAAGTTAACCTAGCACGTTCTCCAACACACATTTGAGCAACTCCTTGGTCCCAACCTTTAATAACTTCTCCTTTGCCTATTTTAAATTTAAACGGTACCCCACGGTCCCTGCTTGAATCAAATTTTTTTCCATTGTCAAGGGTACCTATTAAATATTTAACAGTTAAAATTTCAGTTAAAATTTAAAATAATCTATGTCAACAAATAAAACTATTTTACTTAATAGGGATATTATAATGTAAATATATTTTACATTTAAAAAACAATGTAAATCTGATTGTTTTTAAAAATTATTATCAATATATATATATAAAATTTAATATATATAGTATATACGAAACATTTTAAAAATATTTACCTGTATAATGAACAACTACAGTCTGTCCAGTTTTCGGATATGTCTGGCCTATATAAATAAAATATAAGAAATTTGCATTATAAATGAAAAGTATAAAGTACTAAAACGATTTATATTTTTTAACCATATTAGATAAAAATCGAAATCACTTTATTTGAAATGGAATAATTCGAAAAGTTTATGCTTTTAGATATGCAAATAAATTTTCAGGTTGTAAATAAATCTCACCGACTAAAATTTCCGGCATATTTTAATAGCAATACAATTAACAACATTCATTTGAAATTGAACAGAAAAATAATTATCAAAATATGATTTGAAAATGACTTGAAAAGAAACAATAATTAAAAAAGAAAAACGAAAAATCACAGAATAATCGTGAACAGAATAATTACCATCTCCAGGAGAAAGAACTTCCACATCCACGCCCATGATTATTTATTTTACGTTACAGAAATCGAAATCCTAATAAAGAAATAAGTAATTTTTGTTGTACAAAATTAATCAGTTTTTACTGTTAAGTAGAATTCGCATAAATATGATTCTTATAGCTGTAAAAAATGATATCTGTTCAAAGCCGTTCGATGAATATAACAAGATATCCGAAGATACCCTCGGGAAAGAAATTTTAACTATAAAAGCCGTCGTTAGGTTCGCTGTACGTTAGATCTTCCGGTTAATATACGATAATCGATGCGAACATTTCCGATTCCGCTAAATTTAAAATAAATATTATTTCATATTACATGAATATTCATATTCATTTAATCCAATATGCATTTATAAAATTTGAATAAATAATGGTTATTTATTTGTTAATCATTTTTAATATATATTATATAATATTTAAAAAAATAGCACGATTAAATATTACAAACGCTGTGTTAATAATTAATAATAATAATATTAAAAAAAACATAAGTTCTTAATTCTATTCTTTGTTTCTATTTTATTTATATATTATTTATAAACTAATAAGTGATTTAGATATCTTATTATTATTTTACTATTTTATTAATATCTTAATCTAATAATATCTAATTTATCATATAAAATTATTGACAGATAATTATATCACAAATTTATATAACAAAAAAATATATTTACAAATCATTTACATTAAGAACTCTAATCATAATAAAAATACATCTATAATATATTTAAATAAAAGATTATTCTTTCAATTATATATATAAAATTACAAATTTGATATCAACTATATTAATATAGATATTTATTATGTATTAATATATATAATATATAAAATATAGATATTAAAAAAATCAATATATATCAATATATTAAAAATATATATCCAAATGTAAATAAATTTGTTCATTATATATTTTCTTAAAAATAAATTAAGATAAAATATATATTATATATAATAATATATTAGATATTTATATAAAAATTAAAAAACAGATAAATTGATATGCTTGAAAAATAAGTACAGTTTTGTTGCCGCAAAATTAACTCTTTTTATATATCTTATATAAATTTTAAATTTAATAAAATCTTAACTATCAATTAATATTAAATAGTAAGCACTATAAAATTATAGATATAAATTCTAAGAAATTCAATTAGTATTTTTTAAATACTTTTCTACTTCAGAGTATAAGATACAATATTATAATACTCAAGTAAATGCTAACATTATGATTCTTTTTTCTTTGGAATATATATTCTTTCTAATAAAGCTAATGATATATTTCCAGGTATTCTTTGATGTTGACTTATTAAATTATTAAGTGCATCAGCAACCTAAAACAGAAATAATATTTATTTTGTCCCACATATTATTATCGTTTATTTTTTTAGAATAAAATTGTAAATTTTAGTAGTTGCGTTTATTACCTTTATTTGTAACTCTTCCGGTGAAAGATTTTCATCATATGAAATTGGTTTACCAACATATGTGGTCAATTTTACAGGAAAACCACCATAGATAGGTACAAAAGGAAATCTAGTAGCAGCATATATTCTTAACCACATTCTTCTACCCCAACTGATTGTTCTAAATGCTTCTCTAACATTTTTTGTAAATAAAGGTATTATGCACTGTTAATACAAAAATATTAGTATTTTATAACAATAATATATATATATATATATTATATTATAATATAATATATCATACATATCACATATACATATATATCAATATGTTAATACATTTATATAATTCATGAGATATTTTTGGAGAATTAATTTTAAAAGACAAAATAAACACAAGAAAAAGTCGCTTATTTATTTATTAAATTATAAACAATTAAAATTTGCATTAGACAAAACAAAATGGAAATACAATAAAGTTATTTCACGCTGTTGTCATTTCCATCTGATTTTATCTAATGCAAAATTGAATTGTTTATAATTTAATAAATAAGTTTCAAATGATATATCAACTTTTCTTTTTGATTTCTAAAATCAATCTTTCAAAGCTTCTTATAAATATATTAATTTTATATATATATATATATATATAATAAAATAACTTACCACTTTAGCATCCAATGCAACTTTTGCAAAACCTACTCGTTTTTTCCACATTAATTGGTAATAAGAATCTCCAAATTGTGCTTCATATACACCACCAGGTGAAATGGCAAGCATATTACCTTCTTTTAAAATAGCAGAGCATGTTTGAATTGTACCAGGTATAACTTTTAATACATCAGAAATAATAGACCATCCAGGACATTTAAAAAGAAATCTATCCGCTACTGTATGAATTAATCTTGAATTTAAAAGTAATATTTTAGATATAAAATAATAAATATCTATAGGAATAGCTCCATGATAATAAACAAAAAGTACTGGTTTATTTTGTGGTATATTTTCAATTCCAATTACTTCATATCCTACAAAATATGTGCAAATATGTAGAAGCTAAAATTAATTATATTTTATGAAAATGAATATATACTTAAATAATTTAATATGCAACATACCATACCAAATCCAACCATGAGCATCCCAAACTGCAGCTACTACATTACGAGCTGCATTTCTCCAATCTGTCTCATATGCATTTCTTAATCTAACTCTATTAAAATAAAAAGCTATTAATTATAATATTATATTATAATATTTATTTATTTTTT